TTGTGTAGTGTGTGTGTGTGTGTGTGTGTGTGTGTGTGTGTGTGTATGTATATATTTATATGGATGTATATATTCATACATACAAGCATACATATATGCGTACATACATCCATGCATATATATATACATATATACATACGTACATTCATACATGAATACATACATACATACATTGGCAGTTACGATGTTACAAATGCACCAAGATAGTGGAGCGTTTTTGTCTCATGATAAACTTACTTTTTTCACATCTATATAGCTGTATAAGTACACACACATCGTCTTAACAAACTTATATACAAGAAAATATGATCTTCTAAGGTAGATTTATTTGAATATACCCACGTATCAATACAGACTTACCATTTTGTTCATATATCTGAAAGTAGAAGTATATACATATTGTCTTACCATTTGCATATGCCCATACTATATATTTGCAGGGTGTATGTATATGTATCTATCGTCGTCGAGATGTGATTATATCATTTGAAATGTTTTTACCTTCGATATCGTATTCAGTTCAATAGTAATACGTTCCTCGAGGCCTGTATATTCACTGTGTATGTACATTCGTAGTCCATAATGTGTGTCTGTAGCCGAGTCATGCGACGAACCATGTCTGACTTTAGCGCCTGTTTTATCGGACATTTCTAATCAGGGCACAATCTTCGGAGGCTTCATGATACTCGCTCAGACAGCAATGGGTAAGTGGCTCCAATGTTCCGCATCTGCTGCGTGCATGAGTCTCATGCACACCGTACTTCTTCGTTGTTCTGTCTTGTGTTTTGTTCTCATGTACGGTTGACTACGCACAGCCCATGGGCCGGTGGCGTCGCTACCCACATGAGCTCCTTGTGTTACTCAGTGCCCCCATATGCACCCCATAGCAACCAGAATATGTCCTTGACCTCTGTACATCACTCCAGGGTCTTCTGGTGCATGTCCACTACATTTCATCGCACCATGTCTGCACTCGCCCTGCATCCGTGGTGGTGTGGGCGTTTATATGCACATCTCCCGTCGCGTTAATTGTACTTGGTTTGTGTCACTCATTCTCTCTTGTCCGTCGTCGCTCAGGTGCTGGTATCCTTGCTCTGCCCTATGCGTTTTCTAACCTGGGGTATGCCTTTGGGACGCTTATGCTGCTGGTGTCATCGGGCGTGTCTGCGTTTACCCTGCACCTTCTGTCTGTGTGTGTTGCTAATGTGGGTGGTAGAAGCACTACCTTCGGCTCCATCGCACAGGCTTCGTATCCTCGGCTGGGTAAGTTTATGTGTGTATATTCCTAGTGAAGTTATCAGCGGTCTATATAGGTGCTCATGGTATGTGAGTCTATCACAGACGCGTCTATTGCCCCGGCCGAGTGTGTGCAGGTGTGTGTGCGTTATGTGTAGGTACAGGATTGTTTGAAAATGCTGTTCGTCTATTGCTGTATCACTTGAACTTCTTTCCTTTGGCTCTGCGTACAACTGTGCACTCTGGTCGAACGAACAGAAGGCGCGTTGAGATACGCTGTATACGTATAATATACATAGGTCTATGTGAATAGATCCTCTCCTGGCTCTGTATTTTGGTGTGAAATCGATGGAATGGTTGGTGATAATCATGGTCCCTGGCGAGTGCGTTACGCATGCGGGAACATGCGTGTGTTTGGTCTGCCTGTGCATCACAAACACGTGATATACGAGTAGTGCATCACGTCGATACGTTTGTTGTAGTCTGTAGCAACATCCATCATGTATAACTTCATAGTTTGTGTCACATCAGATTTATGAATTTCGCGGGAGACTGCGTGCTTGTATTTTGTGGTATGTCCGTAGCTGAGCCCAGCTAATGACCGATATCTTCGTTGACATCGCGTCCTTCATACTGACTGTCACACTCACGTTTCGTACTGGCCATTCCGGTGTTTATCACATTAATCTGTGATCAATTTATCCCATCCTATGATTCCTGCACACACAGACTTCCACTCTTAAACCAGCTCAACCCCAATGCCCTTACATCCTGCTATCAGGATGGATCGCTGATCTCTTGGTTGTGGTGGTCACCTTTGGAGTGTGTTCATCCTTTCTTATCGTAGTAGGAGATAACCTCCCCCTAGTAGTCTCCTTCCTGTCAGACCTTCCCCAAACCAGCCCTGGCAGTGTGTGGCTCGGTAGACACGTCTACATAGCCCTGGCCTGGGCGCTCGTGTGCGTGCCTCTGTCTGTAAGTGGACGCTTGGATCTACTGAAGTACACATCACTCCTGGCCATAGCCAGTGTGGTGTTTACTATGGTGCTGGTGGTGGTGTACTACGTTGAGCCTAGCGACAGCTGGAACCCCTGTGGCAGTGATGAGACCAGTGAGGCAGAGGCTGTGGGGTGTCTGGGCGATGTTGTAGCGTTCAACGACGACTTTGTGAAGATTATGACTGGGCTGCCGCTGTTTGTCTTTGCCTACGGATGCCACGGACAGATCTTCGGCATATACAACGAGCTGAAGGTGAGCTATAAGGGATTGCTTGCCCTGTCCTCCGTTTCAGGAGCGGGTTGGTCATGACGTGGTTACGTTGGAGGCTGATGTGATAGTGAGTTTTTCTTGCGTGCGAGGGTGGGTGGGGAAGGGGAAGTCTCTTTGTTACTGTGCGTCTACTTTAGTCAATTTGCGCATATACTTCTCTAGTTGTGAAGATGTGGCTGCCAACAGGTGCCAATTATATCGACCCAATGTGTTTTATCAGTTTGTTAGTTACGGGTTCATCGCAATGTTCACTGCACAACTATCATGTAAATCCCTCTTCATATGCCTGACTACAGACTACACACGCAGATTACTATGCGATGCCGGTGCGATAATTTACAAACAGATATGATATTTGAAATACTGCATATTTGCATGCAAATACAGAACTGTATCTGAATTTGATTCTATTCAGTACTTTACAATCTTATGGCGTCACATCTGTATAAATGTTTGACTTTGCAAAGGGCATGAGTGATTAATTGTGCACCAACCTGCCTGCTGTGCCCTTGTGAAGTACACTTACATTGCCTACAGTACATGTGCCTGTATCGTGTCCAGTATGTATACCTTCATTCATACAGCACATATGTGAGCGTGTGTGTATACACATACGAATCCCAATCGCCTCCGCAAAAAGCACACTACCGATAACCCAACCTCCACATTTGCCACCCCCTCTCGCCAAACCTTAGGTACAGAAAGTGCGATCCATGAACTTTATCGTAGTGCTGGCCGTCAGTCTGTGTGCGCTGCTGTACACCGTCTGTGGCCTGTTCGGATATCTCATCTACGGCAGCCTGACGCAATCCAACATCCTGCTGAACTTTCCACTGGGAGTTGCCAGCAGCGTGGCACGCCTGGCAATGTCGCTGGTGGTCATTCTCACGTATCCGCTGGCCATACACCCGTAAGTGTGATTGTCTGTGCAGGTTCTCTCGCTATGTATGTCTGTTCATTATATACACAGGAATTTGAATACCTACCTAGTGTCATAGTGTGCTGAAGAAATCCAGAGTAAGCCTTATCTTGTCCATACATTATAGATATATATATATGTGTGTGTGTGTGTGTGTTTGTGTGTGTGTGTGTGTGTGTGTGTGTGCGTGTATATGTATGTATATATATAAATATATATATATTAAGTATATGTATATATACATATATATATATATATATATATATATCTGTATGTAGGTATGGACGTGGGTCTTTCGGTAAGATGTTAATAGTGGTATTCGCTGAATGTTTGTTTGCCCGTAGATTTGCCGTAGATTCTTATACCTCTTTCATTTGTTCGTTTACATACATGTGTATGCGCGTATATGTGCACATAGCTTCTACTGCGAATATATATTTACATGAACATGCACACATAGGTTAAATGCAAGTATACAGGCAATAGAGACATGGATTGTATAAGCAAGTGTCCTGAACGCCTGAGAACCGTTGTGTGAAGGGTACACATACTACGTAGATCTCATCCAAAAAATTACTGCTACTTTTCACTGTTCCTATATTCAAACGTGAACTACCAAACTAAGTCTGTACGGCCAGTACACCACACACTGTAGATGAAAAATAAGATTCAATATCAACATTCGGCGGTATCTAAAGATCTTATTGCTTCTAGAATCTCTATACAATGTCCTCTCTTTCCTCTACAGCTCGTACAGAAATTATAACATTCGCAGATTTCCAAACGCAATGGCATACACGAGCGAATCTAACACCATATGTATCGCCTATCCATATTCCAGAAGAACCAATCCATTAAGAAAAATTTATCAACATTTTGATACAATCAGGTGCCGGTTGTGTACGTTAAATCTGATTTCAACATTTGTGAACGCGTATCGAAATAAGAGCTTTATTACGCCCCAGAGCGACACGGCAGAAGGTCCAGCAGACCTTTTTGGCGACAGCAGTGATGATATGGTGAGATGTGAAGTTGCAAGGGAAACCAAAGAAATCTCGGGTGCATATACACGTATTAGCAAGGGATGTATAGATATGCACGATTGCGGGGTAGGAGATGCGAACAGTGCGAACACACAAGAGTGTATGCCAGAGAAAGCGGGAGTGAACACGTCGGCAGAGGGCGACGTATTTGAAGCAAAGTACACCACAGGAACGAATACACGTTGCAATGACGATTCGCAAGCACCTGCGCTGCATATAACACGGGAAAATAAGCTGGACGACCCCTCACACAACAGACAAGGATGTCAGGCACTCACCCACGACCCTACCGGCACAGCGACTGCTGCCCAAGCACATACAGAGGCACCCGCGTGCGCCCAACAGCCAGCCATACACTCACCATACGCCACTGGGCGAATGGAGTTCATTGCCGTGACTGTGGTCATGCTGGCAGGTACTTTTGCACTGGCCATGGGTGTCAGTGACCTAGGGCTGGTGTTTGGCCTCATTGGCGCGACTGCGTCCACAATGGAAGTGTTTGTGCTGCCTGGGGCGATCTATGTGGAGCAGATGAGGACTCGCGAGTGTGGGGGGGTGCGTGGGAGACTGACGTACTGGCTGGCGGTGGTAATGATTCCCTTTGGGTTTGCGTTTGGGGGTGTTGCGGTGGCGTGCACGCTGATGACGGGTGGGTCGGGCCATTAGCGGCGGGTAGTGACGCTGTGCATAGCCCAGTTTGTAGTAGATTGTCGACTTGAGCTTCACTATATGCGAATTATCGTCTAGGATGTTGCTAGTTCCTGGTGTATGTGTGAACATCTATAGGTGTGCGTATGCTGAGATGCGAATTCATTGCATACTTTCCTTGGATTTGAAGCGTAAAGTTCAAGGAGTGATCTGTGTGCGAGAATTGGCTCTTGTCGACCTCATCCAGTCTTCCAGGCTGATGAGTTGCTCACAAGGGTTAGAAGTATGATGTATGAAGGCTATCAAAAGCGTGCAAATGAAGCCAATATTTAGGTTGCATGGTATTGCCAAGCCTGATATCGCACAGAAGAAATAAGAAAACGTGGCTGAAACCATATGCATATTCGATGGTTATCCCAGCGCATCAACATCGATGTGAAAGCGACGGTCCAATATGTGCGATACGAGGATGGACGAGGACGTTTAGCCATCGAAACGGTTGTTAAGATACAACATCCTGAAGGTTGCCATTTACGAATTGAGATATAATATGTTTTTAGAACTTAATTTTAGATATGGAATAACCTAAGAAGGATATCATAAGTGCGCTTCCCGGTTTGAAGCTGAATGTGAATAAAACACGAGCGCAGTGTTGGTCTTTGGTTCTCTCTGGCACAAGTCTCTGCCTGAGGAATGAGAAAATATACACATATACTTGGTGCATCCCATGGTATCACTCAACTCAATGATCCTCGCCTCGAACTGCTCTTCCTTTATATCGAATACTGGCTTCTATCGCAAATCAACATATGTGCCCGAGCCACGATAGATAGTTGACAAAGGGAAATATTTAGTTCTTCACATGCAATTCTGTCATTCACAGCAATTACTATACTTGATATATCTCGTCGATTAAACAAAATGTCTTCAAGAATCTGCTGAAAACACGGAACAAAATAGCAGGAATTGCATCTATACACAAGATGTTTACTTACTTCACTGCTGATTACCAAACATCTCAAATAATTCTTCTCCCCACTCCCACCCTCGACACACCCGTATTCCTCGTTGATACATACAACCCCTACAGCGATGAATACTTTTCACATGGCCTGTAGCCAACTACAGCGCACTCGTTCAATTCCAAGCTTAACCATATTATACACAGACGAATGCATGCCAATACCTGACATGCAACCAAACGTTCATGGGAAACAGTCTCGCAAACTATCGGGGGTTAGGCCACAAGATAGACGGCAAAGTCGTCGCATTTTGGCTTTCGCGCATTTGAAATGGGGGCGTAGAATACGAATACCAAAATACAGAGATACCAAATAGTATGTGAGTCTCATGTATTCACTATATTGTTCCGAGAACTGCGTTACGGCTCACTAGTGTTAATAGGAATCACATCATATTTATTTGCAGGGGTTTTTTAAATTCCCCGCATTCTGATCTGCACTAGGCACTGTACACTTCTCCATCTCACACCCACTCAACCGTTCGGCTACGAAACACAATCGTTCCGTCACGACTGTTGCACGTAGCCCACGGTACACTAAACACTAACACTCTAAAACCCTAAACGTTCTGGTCTGGACTAGGCACTGTACATATCTTCCATCTCACACTCCTCAGCGCTTCGCTTACGAAACACATTCGTTTCGTCACGACTGCTGTACGTAGCCCACAGACATGCGTTCGCCGTGCAGAGCAACGTATGTGCACTTGTTCCGCTGATATCTCTTCACCTTATTCTGTAGAGGAGGGAGTTGGGTGAGGCATATCAAATGAGTACACATCTGCAGATCATATATTCATTAGATGCCCATGAATTGGGCTCAGAGGTTATATCATTAATTTGGCAGCAATATCATGCTACATGTATGTCCCATGATTATTCCAAAAAATATAATATAATGAACCCTATGCGGCAAACATACCAAACATAAAAATTAAATATATTTTATAGGAGGCATATGCGCTTAGATGCATGATCAAAACTGGGGATATATTTGCTACACATAAATAGCAAACGCATAATACACTTTACCTGTATCACACCGCCTTCCTCTATCCACATATTCTCCACAGAGGTTTGGGCGGCACATTCTGTGTTGGTGTCGCCTACGCACGAGCCGTCTATTTTTAGATAGAGCACATAGTCGGCATTTGATTGGGCGAATGTCCAATGGACGCGCTCCAATTGGACACCATTGCGCACACCTTTTGGGGAGAAGCAAGCATATGATACATTATTTGATATGGTACGTTTGAGCCTCCGCTTAGTCCCGACCCGGGGATACACAAAACCAATCTGACTAGAGGATTAGCGATGGAAATGCATTTATCACTCTACGTCGCATGAGACGAGCACGTGTACAATCGACGAAGTTGCCAAGGCGCGTTGCGACAACAATATGTGCCACCGCCGTGAGGCATAAATCCACAACACGAAGGGACAACACAACGGAACCTATTTGGCTAAACCCTAAAACCCTTGTGTGACTCTATCAAGGAGGTGGAAGAGGAGACGATATGCAGGTGTCAGGACAAGCAAAATCACGGTGTCCGCAGATGTTGCCTTGTAACGCACTGGTGGTCTGGTCGTACGTGGTTATAACGTTCACAGGTACCAATAAATGCACCACTATATCCCCCCCTCGTAGGTTGCTCGAACACACAGTGGCGGTTGATTACGTCATGAACACTCGACAAATAAGTCAAGGAAGGGCAGTTCAGAGACAGAATTGATCACAGCCATCACATCAGAATACTTCAATTGACATTAAAACTGAAAATCCGAACTTTGCAAGCAAAAAACAAAAACAAAAATGAAACGTGCACACTGATCCTGGCCTTCACCTCAAGTCCACAGACAAACAAATATCCCGAGCATGACACCCACCAACGGCGATCTTAGAGTAATGCACTGAGATCGAGTTTGAGTTGTCGGCGCTCTTCCGTTTCGGACCTTTAGGTACCACACCCGCCTTGCCCACGCGTATGCCGTTCAGCGTGGTAGCGGATAAGAGCTTGGGCATCTACGAAGCATATGCGTAAAAGGATTAGATAATATGTATGAGGTGTGTGCGAGATATACAATCATGTGTGCAAAGTGGATACCAAGTGCGGTTCTAGCATGTTCATAATCTTATCCAATACAAACCGCAGGCTGACTGCAAAGGGAATGACAAATAGAGCACGTTTTCTGTACATGCATGGCCTTTGAAATATGCAAAGGTTATAGAAACGCTGATTTGACACATATCCTGCACATGCCCGGTGGCTAAAGTATAAACTGTTTGCGTCACGATGAAATATGAGTCACATTCTGCAAACATTTCGTTCAACTCCAAGGTTACACGCACTATGCCCACACCTAGTAACTAAAGTGTATAGTGCAATCGGCATAAAGCTAATGAGCGTGTGTACAGTCTTCACAGTGTTCAGTTTAAAGGCTGATAGATCACGTGCTCGGCAGATATCTAACGGAAACAACGCGTATACGATATAATGTGTCAGAATCCCGTTTGTGCAAGTGAACTACACACATCTGGTAGCTGACGTATACAGAGGACTTTTCGAAAAGTAATAGCCAACACAGTGGTGTCACATACTTGATGACTAAAGTATACGCTATATTTATGCGCCAGTGGTTCGATGCCGAAGAACTGGCAGACTACTGGGTACGCACCCGCATAGACATTCCACGCCTGTGAGAAGAGGCCATTAATTAAATTAGTTTTACAATTTAGTGCTCACCATTAGTTGATGCATCATACATATGAACAGCCATGTGTGAATTGGCCACTATTGAAATGTACGGCCAGTCTGAGAATTCATGCCTACAGTCTCAGAAGTGCAATTAGTCAAAGAGATCTTAAATTTCACTGATTTTATACCGATATATATATATGTGTGTGTGTGTGTGTGTGTGTGTGTGTGTGTGTGTGTGTGTGTGTGTGTGTGTGTGTGTGTGTGTGTGTGTAGTGTGTGTGTGTGTGTGTGTGTGTGTGTGTGTGTGTGTGTGT